AGACACACATTAGCCATCTTAATCATTTGCTACATATGCTTTGCCTTCTGTTGCATTTGTGGACTTGTTCCTTTGCAGTACATACATAGAAAGATGGCCTGGGAATTTTACGGTAATAAGATGTAGAAGTATCGGAAGATCTGAAGAGAGATATATGGATGTACCCCTTGGAGCTATCGGATATGAAGCCTTGCATAAGGAGAAAGGTTAGAGGGGGTTTCTGAACAACACAGGTGGGAGTAGCTGGAGTAGTTGGTACACTTTGATGGAGCTGTATTGTGTTCCAGTTCCATTTCTTTACTAGATTTGGGACCTATGTACAGCAGGGACTTCTCCTAAAACCTGAAAGAGAATTTCAATTTCACAGGGTAGGTCTGAATTTCATGATCTTGCACTGGTGCAGTGCTGAGATGGAGAGAGTATTTAATCCCAAGCTGGGTGTGAGGGTTATGGTCATGATAGGAGGATATGTAGAAGCAGCAAAGAGGTTTTTTTTTAAAAGGAAAGCTGTGAGTGAGGTAGTAATAGAGCCTATTGGATGAAGATGGATGGAGCAGGAGAGAATGTGTGTGGAGGTGAAGAAATGAAGAAGTAAGAGAACAAATATAATTGGTTGAACTGGCAATAATTTGTAGAATATTAATTGCAAAAAACCTCAGGGGAAGGAAGGTAGACCAGAGCATAGAAAATTTGTTCAGCAATTTATCTTTCAGTGCACCTTCAGTTAGGAGAAAGAAGACAAATTAAAGTGAATCTAGTTTGACTAGAGAGCAATAGAACAGAGTGGAGACTTCTGTGAAGAGAGGATGGAGACCGGTGTGTTTTCTTAAAGTGTAGTAAGGATGCTTTTGTGTGCCTTAGAAGTAAGGTGGCTGGATGATAAAAATAGGCTAAGGACAGATGACCTCAGAGTCTGGGAAGCAAGAAAAAAAAAAAGTGAAATGAGTTGATGCTGTTCTTGAATGAGGACTACAGAATGGAGGCATTTGCAGTGGAGTTCCTAGTGTTTTCTCTCTATTTTTAGCAGATGAGGTGGATGTGATTCCTAGAATAAAAGAACCAGGATTAGAGAAAACAGTGGAATTGAGGTTTAAGTCCGATGTGAGAAGAGTGCTTGAGCCCACAGCTCATTCTGAGGAAGTTAGCTTACTGCAGGTCAGTGAATAGCTGTGAAGATGAAAGGATTAGCTAAAGGAAATTAGGAACTTAAATAGTACCTTTTCTTCATGGGTCTATTCAGCATATTATTTTTTTTTTTTCAGAGTGGGAGAAGTAGATAGCTTGTGAGGCATTTGGAAAAAAAAATTACAATTTACTAAGTAAGCAGCATATAACAAAAACTTCACGTACAAATTTGGCTTTTCCTCTAGTTTGGCTTTGTTCAGATTTGGATATGCTGTTTTTTTTAACAGTGGTCTACAATCTGAGCTACAACTCTTTGTTTTCAGCAGCTGTTGTAACTCGCAACTGATTGTGTGAAGAGTGTGCTCCATTCCTTATTTATGAGACAGAACGAACCCTGGTGCTTCTGCTCCTGTGGTTTAATTGCGAGCAAAGTACTGAGCAGAGTTAACTGGGTAGAGGGGTCCAAATGGTGTTAAAGATTCCTTACTGAACATTATTAATCGAGATGGTTTTGCTATCTTTTTCATAGTTTATGTTTAAGCACGTTGTGTAACACTGTGTGCCCAAAAGGGGATATCGTGTGACTATTGATTTGCTCCCTAGCAGCACTACTGGCAAAGCTGTAAGTAGAGCTGCGGTTAGTTAGATCTATCTCTGTCTCCTTGCACATTTCACTCGAATGACTTTGTGGCTAATTCTGCTGGAGCCTTAGGGAACTTATCAAACACACGTCACAGATGAGGAGTTGACTTACCGCTAAGATGGTAACTAAGAATATAGCAAGTACTTAGATGAGAAGGAAGACTCAGACTTAGTTGAAATTCATGATGCTTGAAGAAGCATAGGCAAGAGGCAGGGAAGAGTTGCTGTGAGAAGTGAGACTAGCTGGAAGGTAGCTGTTTGTATGATCTTTGATGGATAACGAAAAGCTAAATGTGTGTGGTTCTTGATAAATGCTGCACCAAAAACCTTGACTGGAAACAGTCCTGATGCTTCTCTATGCCAAGACAGATTTTTTTTTTTTTCTTTTTCTTTGTCTCATCACAAGATGAAAGAAACTAGAGGAGTAGTGGAGGTCAAAACAGTTATTTGAGAATTAGGTGCTTGAGTTGCTGTAAGAAGTGAGACTAGCTGGAAGTTACCCTGTAGATTTCATAGGCAGGTAGCTGTTTGTATGATCTTTGATGGATAACGAAAAGCTAAATGTGTGTGGTTCTTGATAAATGCTGCACCAAAAACCTTGACTGGAAACAGTCCTGATGCTTCTCTATGCCAAGACAGATTTTTTTTTTTTTCTTTTTCTTTGTCTCATCACAAGATGAAAGAAACTAGAGGAGTAGTGGAGGTCAAAACAGTTATTTGAGAATTAGGTGCTTGCTCACTTAAACTGGTCCCTTTGAAACACACTGAGATTTGAGCCCTTGAAGTGCTCCCAGTAGCTTATTATTCACAATGCAACAGCTCTGGAGGAGAAGATGGGAGACCAGCCTAGAACAGCTGCTACTTTAGGTAAGGATCCTTGCAATATAGGGGATACTGGAGTTGGGATTTGAACCTGAATTTTGAAAATTTGAATGAGACAGATGTTTCCTTTTTCCCCCACACTCTTTTGAAGTTTACGCTGTGAAATGTGAAGAATTAACTGACACATAAGAGTGTTTATTACCTATGAATCACTTAATTTCCTAGTCATTATAAATGTCTGGGCATCTACCATCACCAACTGCCAATAGATTCACAAAGGTGGGAAAATATAATTTTCCCCATTTTACTGCTAGGGAAGGAGTGAAGCAGTTTATTAAAGGTCACAAATGAGTCAGTGACATAGCTCTGATTAGGGCTTGCCTACTTCTTTGAGCCTTGGCTTTTGGGCTCCTTGGGCACTGTATTACATGTGTGTGTGCATGTAGGAAAGAAGAGGCACAGGCTGTTTAGAGGAGGAGACAAAGAAACCCATGTAGTGATGCAAGGATGGAAGAGGTATGACTGAAGTGTGGGCTGGATAGCTTACTAATTTGAGATAGGGAGTAGCCTGGAAGACTTAGGATAAATTAATGTAGCGTTACAACTTAATAATTTGTAGCATTAAGCCAAGATACGTGTGTTTTTGTTTTTTTTTTCCAATCCTGGCATAATAGAGACTAATGAGCTTATAGCTACTCGCATGGGGCTGTGGGCTCTGCTCATTCTTTATGTAAGAGCCTCGTGGTGTGGGCAGAGATCGGTCCACATACTAGAGCTGAACAGAATGACTTACGTGACATAAGTCATGGTACCTTACTTCTATTCTCTATAGTAATTTTTTTTTCTTCCTTATCTGATAGTTCATAGATTTCAAGTTTTTGTAGCACCTGGCACTAAACTAGAAAGTGGGCCTGCTACCCTGCATTTCTGCAATGACATTCTCGTCCTTGTAAAAGACCTTCCTCCTAGTGTCATGGGGCAATGGAAGCTCTCAGATCTGCGTCGGTATGGAGCTGTCCCAAATGGATTCATCTTTGAAGGAGGTACCAGGTGCGGCTACTGTAAGTACAAATGGAACCTGTCTTCTAAAAGTTGTTTGCAACCTTTTGTAGAAATGTAAATGCTAGTCTCATTCAAACTGGAGTTTGCACAACCAGCTGTGCTACTTTGTCATACAGGCAGCCTCATATCAGAGGGTCTGTTCTGCTGAGTAGGTTTCAGCAGGCTTCAACCCTGGTGTTCAGTAAAAATGTGACTATGTGAAGTCCTGACTGAACATTGCCCTGTGGCTCTCCAGAAGATGTTTAGTCAACTGTTGCTATTGGACACAGAGCAAAAATAAGGTAATGAAATTTTATGGCTTGTGTCATGCAAGAGATAAGGCAAAATGGTTTAATGCTCAGAATATGAAATTATGATTAATTATTCTGTTCTTTGCAGAGGGAAGTGTTATAGAGCTTTGAGGTTATAGGCGGCATCAAGGCTCTCATTGTGTAAACGCTAATGTCTAAATCCCATAGAGGACTTTTAGCTCTTAAAAGTTAGGAACTTCTGTCAGTTCCCCTGTTAGTACATTTCTCACCTTATGGGACCATGAGATTTGTGGGGTCAAAATGAGAGCAAGTAAGCAAGCTGAAGCTAGTTTCTGTAGCCTAGTAGCTAAGATACCCCTTTAGATGGGGAAAAATGTCTTGTTCCAATGTCCAGATAGGACTTCTCACATTCTCACTTCAGATAAAATGCAAGCTTCTATGCAAGAGCTGAAAAAAAAAGATAGTTAATGCACTGGTATAATATATACATCATTAAAAAACATAAGGTTTTAACTTCAAAAGCAGAGTTGGAAGCCTTGCTGAATTGATCTGTGAGTGCAAGTGGATGTGCAGATCACCCATTTGGATGTGAAGTTGGTTGAGTTGCATACTGAAATGTGAAAATAATAGATTTCTTCAATTATCAGGCTGAAAAAATAGAAGGTTTCAGAGTTGATCCAAATCCAAAGATATTCTTCCTTGTGACTTTTGGCAAAATTTGGGGAGGAAGGGGAAAGAATTTATTTTGACTGTTTTAGTCTAGTGAGGGGTTTTCATTTGGTCTATTGAAAAATACAGAGCTGAGTTACAAAAATGGTAAGTATGGACTCAACTGTTACATCCTGATTCCTGATTTAAGACACTTGTTTTCAGTGTGGAAGATTCTGGTTCAAATCTTTCCCTGCCTAATTCAGAGATTGGGGTTAAAGAAGCATTTCCAGCATCCGAAGGAAGGGGTTACAGGTATAACATGTAAGGAAACAAATCAGTTTTCTTTCAAGTTTATTCTGTTTCAGTTTAAAAACTAGTATGGGAGCTGCAACACAAGTGTCTTGTTTCCTAGTGGTGTGGTTTAGACTGGGAGGTAGATAACTGGTTATAGAGTATAAGGGAGAATCAGCACAGTCGCCTTTTCGCCTTGTCTTGTAGACGGTGCAATTGACTCAGGCTAAACTTGAATCTGCAGCTTAGTGTAGGTCTGCCAACACCTGTGGTTTTGGTTTGAACATTTTTTTTTTTTCCCCATGCAGAATAAAGCAATTGTTCATTCCTGTGTCTGTATGCAAGTACTGCTTTAAATGCAAGCTGGATTTCTGATAAATGTGTGCACTGCTATGCTGACATAATTTGTGTCCAATTTTTGAATTATTACCTGAAAATAGAGAGTTTAATTTTGAACTAAACACTTCAGAATGCTTACAGGGAGAAGATTTCCCAAAGTTGAACCACAGTGTGTTTTTTCTCTTTTAAAAAGCTACTGCTCTTTCTGGAAAGCTTGTGTAGAGTACTAGTTTTTGAACTAATGAAATCTGAAATAATTTAACTATGGAAAACTTATATTTAAAATAAATATAGGGATCTGAAGTAGAAATGCTAAGCAATCTTTAAGTAACATTAGCAGTGATTAGGTAGATAGATTACACAGATTATATGAATTACCAATGTAATTCCTCAAATGAGAGAATATAGGACTTAACTATTTGAGTAATTTGTAGTCCTGAGGGTCTTTAGGGAAGCAGAGCCCCCATAATTTTTATTAAGAGGTGAAGCAGCAGTGTGATATGTTGGATTTGGTTTTTCTTTTGAATCTTAATGCTGGTGCCTCAAAGGAAGAGGACAGTAATTTCTTAGTAAGAAGGGCTTCAAGTAATGGCTTGATTTTTGGAGTATATAGTTGATTGCAAATGGAGTACCTGTGAATTCTGAGTATGTGTTTTATGCAGACTTTCATTAGAATATGGAAGGAGACAAAATAATATTCTGAGGGCTATCCAAAAATGGAAATGGCTAGCAGAAAATAATGATGGATTCCAGGACTTAGTTACCCTTAAACCCAAAAAACCAAAAAACCACCACCCTTGCTTTTCTTCTTTCATACTTTTTCCAGAAGGACTGTTCAGCACTGACTGACAAAGCATTTGCAACACACATTGTCTGAAGAGTCCATTTCTTAGATATACTGCAGTTTTGAGAGGGACATTGTGGTAGGGTATAAAGAACAGATACTTTGGACTCCTTAGCGTATGTGAGTTTTATGATAATGTTGATGAATGGATGTGACTTCAGTTCTGGTTTTCATTCTTGAAAGCATAAAAGTAAGGGGTATTTGCAGATCAAGATTAAATGTTCTGACTTATCACCCATTCTGTGTGGAAGGACCTTTCTTTAGCGGCTGCCTGAACCAAAGAATTTAGAAAATGCCTAGTTCACTACTACAACAGAGTACTTCACCTACTTATTTGTGCTGATTATCTTCATGGAATCATAGGTTTGAGAAGACCTTTAAGACCACCAAGTCCACCCATAAATGTAACATTGACTAAGTCCACCACTAAACCATGTCTTTAAGTGCCACATCTACCTGTCTTTTAAATACCCCCAGGGTTGATGACTCAACCACTTCCCTGGGCAGCCTGTTCCAATGCTTGACAACCCTTTCAGTGAAGAATAATTTCCTAATATCCAATCTAAATCTCCCCTGCTGCAAATCGAGGCTGTTTCCTCTTGTCCTGTCACTTCTTACTTGGGAAAAGAGACTGACACCCACCTTGTTACAACTTCCTTTCAGGTAATTGTAGACAACTTGCAACTATCCAGGAAATTTCTGCTGTAGTCATTACTGTTATGGTCAAAACACCTCAATGTGTAACATGGCTGCAAGGAGGTGCACAGAGTGAGGATGGATTTCTAAACACAGTGCTGTCAGGGAATGATGGATGAATAAAGAAATGTCTCTAGTGCTTAGTACAAGACCTTGTTCCCTGGAAAGATTGCCCAAGGATGTAGGGACCACTGATACTACTCTAGTAATCTGCATGGCCTTATGAGCTCTGCAGGTGAGCAAAGAAGATGGTCTGCAGGAAGTAAGTAGCAAGAAATTAGATGGCTGAGCCAGTCTTCTTCCTGCTAGATTCTTGTTTGCTTGAAGGCCTCTCCACCACACTTTCTGTAGAAGCCCTGTAGAGCCTTGCTTTGAGGCATGCAATATAGGTTCCTCCATTGTATGGCTTGTCTAAATCTTGTGTTCATCCATTTAATATTTGCTGTTAGGGGATTGCCTGTGTCCAGAAACCTGAATATAGCACCTCTACAGGCACTTTCTTGAGGTCACCTAACTTCCAAGCATTCAGCACCAAGGCACTTAATATACAAGCGTGAAGAATGAAGGTATGTTTTAGTAGGATCTAGCTAACATACTCAGTCCTAAATTATTGTGTTTAATAAAACCTATCTGTTCTCTTCATTTGGTTTTGTAATTAAATGGATCTATATTATTGACTATGTGCTGTTATGATCTGTATGTTATGATTGGAATGGAATATATTAGATTACTAGTATCTTACCCTATGGTTCTATGTATTGTTCATGTTATGTTGTTAAAGTTGTGTATTTCTCAAAATCAGACCAGTAAGTAATATGAACTGTTTTTATAAAAAAATTTCAGTAGCCTGTATGGTGAATATAGACCACCACAGTTTGTGCATTTCACTTTCATTGCAGTGTTTAGGGAATAACAGTTCCAGTCTTTTTATTTTTAACTGTGTTTTGTAGTAAATGCTAACATATGTTATAACATTACTAATATACTAGAACTTTCATCTACTGTTAATTGTTTTAAAAGAAAATTTTATGCTTTAATACAAAGAATATCACCAGTTCACACTAATGCTTGAATTTTGAAAGCTAGCACGTAAATGAACAAAAGTATTAATCTGAAATAACTTTCTGTCAATTTTTGCTTAGTTGTTTGATAATACAAATGAATGCTGTAATTTATTTTGAAACATTAGTGGGGCTTCAGTACAGAGATTTTACTGTAGCAGTTGTGTTATTAAAGTGTTGATGAGACACTGCTGATCTGGTTATGCAGCAGCATTATAGAATGCTAATTATTAAGTTTCTACAGTATAGTAAGAAGCTATTTTTTAAAAAATTTTTTTTTAGTATGAGATCAGAAAGAAGCTTCCAGTTTGGATGTCACAGGTGCCTAAATATCACAGAATTCTTGAGAGTGGGAGGGACTTCTGGAGGCTACCTTGTCCAATTCCCTGGCTCAAAGCAGGGCCAACTAGAACAGTTTGCCAGGACCATATCCAGTCAGGTTTTGCATATGTCCAAAGATGGGCACTCCACAACCTCTGTGAGCAACCTCTTCCCATATTCTGGTGTATCAGCCACTCCTCCCAATTTTTTATCTTGCTGAGGGTTCACTCTGTCCCATCATACAGGTCATTAACGAAGGTGTTAGAGCATTAGTTCCAATGTTGACCCCTTGAATACACCAGTAGTGACTGGCCTCCAGCTGGGCTTTGCGCTGCTGATCATAACCATTTCAGCCTGGCAGTTCAAGCCAGTGTTCAGTCCACCTCACGGTTCACTTATCTAGTCTCTACTTGATCAGTTTGTCAATGAATATATTATAGGAGATGATGTTGAAATTCTTGTTAAAGTCCAAGCAAACAATATCTATTGCTTCATCCACCAAGCTAGATATTTTATCAAAGACTATGAAATTGGTTAGGCATTAT